ACAGAGATTAACCTAGACAAGATTAAAATCAACAGAACTAGATAGAGACAGGATTATGGAAATGAAACTAGGAACTGTAGGTTTCCCGAAACATACCATGATGTAATTATAAAGGCATGCTTATGGGGTCAAATAGTATATAGATGTAATAGAATAGAGAACCCAACCATGCTGATCAACTGAACGCTGCCTCCTTGTCATTCCTTCACCGACTCCGTCCACACCTTTGGGAACCCCTGGACCTGCTGGGGTTGGCCCCCAACAGAAGGGAAATGGCAATATCTATTTACATTACACATTCCTTTCTTTTGATAGGAGTTTCACTTTTAGCATTCCACTCCAAAAATTTAATGGCAAATATAATTAAAGATCTGCACGAGGCTTTTAATTAAGCACTATTTATAGGGGCAGCAATTTGGAAACTCAAATGACCATCAGTAGGGAACTGGTTGAATAAACTATGGTACAGCCACACAGGAATGAAAAAGTAACGTGAAGTGGATACATAAGAATGGCTAATAAAAAAAAATGGATATAAATGGATTTACACCATGGCCAGTGGACATTTGTAAAGTCAATTTCGGAAATCCTGGGAAAAATTCCACTAGCTATAAGCTATTTAAATACTCCTTACAGAAACTGTCATGTAAACAGCACATATTTAAATACAAGACAAAAACTTAACAGTGTGTTACATTTTTTATTCACCAATAAAAATCCATTTCTAGATGTTTCTCTTGGTACACTTCATATGTTTTATTAATAAGCAAAGGCCTATATAAGGTGCCTTCACCTAGTCCTCAGATTCAGACCCATCTTCATCTTGACTAATCTGGAAGTAACGCAGTTCATACGTCTCCTTGTCAGATGCAACCACACGAAGCCAATCACGAAGACTATTCTTCTTGAGGTATTTCTTGGTAAGGTATTTCAAATATCTTTAAAACAGAAACATGAATTTCATTAAGAAATTCAATACCTACTATGTAAAGGCTTATTACATGAACGATGTGCACTGTTACCTTCACCTTTCAGGTTCCCAATTCCCCCCAAGATACTCTGTATTAACCATTGTGCAAGATTGCTAAGGATACAAATAAAGCAGCCTCTCGACCCAATTACAATCAGTTTATCCTCTACAAAACCCTTCTCCCAACTCCTTAAAATGAGTATTATGTTAGAAGCCAATATGCAGGAGAGCAGCTTCCTCTTCGATTTTACTGTCACAGTCAGATTATTTCTAAATTTACAATTTCATTCTTCAAATGCACCACGTACTAAAATATCAACATTCCCTTCACCACCACCATCTCTAATCTCAATCCCATGTTGCATCAACTAGAGGCAACCTGTCAACAGGCTCCACTTACAAGTGATTACCCACAGCCTTGAAACTAACACCTGGCTGGTATTAACAGCTTCCAGCCTGGTGGAATTTCATCACCAGCTTCTGCCTTTCTGCCCTGTTAATACTGCTCCTTTTGCCAGAAATACCGAACTCCACTGGCAACACTATGTTCATTCTCAGGTTTTCTGCTAATTCTTGTGCCCTCCCTATCTCTTTTAATACTGTCATTATAGGATTTATCTGCATGTCTATAAGATCCCCAAGGACAGGTATTTCCTTTCATCTCCAAATCCCTAGTGATTAGTTTATATACAAACCGGACCACAGGGCCTATGTTTCACTGGACAGGGGCCTGGACATAACTTCACAGTAAATTACACTCACTGTCAACCAGCCTAAGTAACTGGTACTATCACTAAACATATATATCCATTCATATAGGCCTTATTAAAGTTCAGAGCACTTTGCTATATCTCACTGACACCAACAACACATCTATTCTTACACATGAAGAGAGCACACTGGGATTACATATTCCATAAAACATCCCACAATTACCATAACTTCACTAAAATATTATGGAAAACAAATACTAACCTTTTAGAGAATTGTTTCTCAGAAACAACTGTGATTTTATTCTTGAAGCGTTCAATGTGAACAACATTCCCAAGATTTCCTGTTTTCCCATTGACTTTAACCTTCTCCCGTAGAAACTGTTCCTATTTTAAAATAGAAAAAAAATGCAAAACTAGGGAAGAAAACCCTAGATATTCACTAGGGAAGGTACCCTAGGAATAGAGCTTAGGTTAAAATCAAATATTATACACTCAGTAATTATTAAGAACTCTACATCGATAAAAAACAAACTGCGCAGAGTGATACTTACGAAATTTATACACTCAGTAATTATTAAGAACTCTAGATTGATAAAAAACAAACTGCGCAGAGTGATACTTACGAAATTTGCAGAATCAAAAATGCCATCTTCTACTGGATGGGTAAGGTCCAAACCAAACTTCCAGGTTGTCCTCTTAGGCTTCTTGACTTTCTGTTACAGAATGTCAGCACAATCATGACTCTGAAAACAACTTAGTCACTTTATTCACAAACTTTAAAAATCTATCAGTGCAATGATGTACACCGTGCTCGAGATTCTATTAAACTGTGTAAAATTCTAAAAAAAACTGCCGCACACCAATCTGGTTATTCCTTTGTAACCAGGCTGCCGGAAGGAGGGCACACCCCTGAACTTAATGAAAATCCGTCCTACAAGTTGTCTCCCAAATGCAAAACTCGAAGGTGGAAAGGATATGGTGAGCTACTTACTGTTCATTTCCTTCATTAGAAGAGTCTAGTTTTAGGACTGGGAAAGATTACAAGGACCCACCCACTTCCTACTACTAGTGGAAGCTAGCAACACCCACCCTGGCGTCGGAACCTCTAACCAGGCACACTGTTCAAATTACCAAGGAAAGTCTTCCAGCCTCGATCTTCCAGACCACGGATGCCCATTTAAATCACCAGGCGCCGTCCTAGGGCCACTCCCACTGCAGACGGGGAGTAACAGTGCACCTCCTACCAGTGATGGCGAACCTGTGACACGCGTGTCAGAGGTGACACGCGAACTCATTGTTTTGGTTGATTTTTCTTTGTTAAATGGCATTTAAACATATAAAATAAATATCAAAAATATAAGTCTTTGTTTTACTATGGTTGCAAATATCAAAAAATTTCTCTATGTGACACGGCACCAGAGTTGAGTTAGGGTTTTTCAAAATGCTGACACGCCGAGCTCAAAAGGTTCGCCATCACTGTGCCAGAGCCACCCTTTCTGCCCACACGATTCAACCCTATGCTGCTACAGGTGAGAAGCAGGAGGGCGACCTTTAGCCTGGCAAATATTGTTTAATTTTAAAAACATGTACACCTTAAGTTTTGCAGACCCAACACGTTCAGACCAACGCCACGTAACAAGGTTACACCAGTGAAGTGGTGCTATGACCACTAACTATTCAGACAACGTCGTGAAATAGAAAAACCAGCATTTATCAGAGGATAACGCTTGCACATCACACCCGCCCAAATGGACACCGAGCTGGCTTTCCTAGGCAGTCGAGGAACCTGAGCCCCAAACCTGCACTTAGTTCAGGAGACGCCAACCATTTGTCCGGCGGAGCAGACCCGCCAGGGGTCATGGCCCGCAGACGTCACCAGTTTGTATGCGACCCGGCAGCCCCAGCCGGGATTTGTTTAGCAGATTTCCGACACACGCCGAGCTTTCCAAGTGCTCTCTGGGCCGACTTTCACTCTCCCTGGCTCCCTTCTTATGAGGTAAACCAGATGTCTGAAGCACATGCCTTTCCTATTTGCCCAACAGTCGTGACCTGTGCCTTTAACGCAACTCCTTCGTGAGAGCAAACCTCTCCCGCACCTCAGTCCTGAAGTTCTCTCTGGACCGGGGGCTCCCGCCGCGCTCCGGCCGTCAGAGCCTCCGACACCCCCCTTCCTCCGAGGCGCTGACAGACTGGGTGGCACCGACGTGACCCAGCGCGGGGGGGAAAGAAATGGCCACACGCGGCCGGCGCCGCCTCCTCCCCAAGCCAAGGCCGGCCCAGCTCTAACTCCAGACCACGTGTCAGTCACCTCGGAAGGCCTTAGCCTTAACGTTTAGTTGTTTTCCTGGCGCAGCCTAGTCCCCCACTTCCCTTACTCCAGACCACGTGTCGGTCACCTCGGAAGGCCTTAGCCTTAACCTTTAGGTTGTTTTCCTGGCGCAGCCTAGTCCCCCACTTCCCTTTATCTCCACGGAGCCAACCCCAACTCTCCAGATGCCTAAGCGGCCTACTTGGGGGAAGACGACCGCGGCCAGACCGCGCTCACTCACCGGCGCCATCTTGCCGGCAGTCCGTGCGATCAGAGAGAAAGCGGGGGCGTCGGCACGTATTTATAGCCGAGCGTGCTGCGTCATGCGCCGGGACGTAAGTTCTGCGCCGGCCGGAAGAGAAGTTGGGGAAGAACGCGGAGGCCGGTAACCCAGGAAACCCGTAACCCAGGAAACCGAGGGCGTGTCGGGGAGCGCAGGCAGTCAGGTCTCCTGGGAGCGCCCTCCAGCGGCGGTGTTGGAAAGGACTCGCGGTGTTCGGTAAGACGCTGGCTCTGCACCGAGTTACACACACGCACACCCCAGGGATGTAGGACTCATCTTTCACCAATCGCCTGGATCTTCTTTCCATTCAGAGCAAGGCATTGTCTCACGTACCTTTGAGATCTCCTGTCTTCTGTAATTATAATCCTCCAGCAAAAAAATTATTTCTATATCTATGTTTTATTTTCTAAATGACGGTTGAGGGAAAGCAGTATTTCGGAAGACAAAATAAACTAGGTTTTCCAATAGAAGAAAAAAAAAACACCTTTAAGTGAAAATCACTTGTTAGCACATTGGGTGTGATTTATTCTACGTTATTATGGATTTTAGGATAACCCTAGGATTCCTCACTTCCATTCAAAATGCCCCCTAGTTAAAATTCAACGAATATTTTCCAAGAGCCAACTACTAACATGTACAATGCACATGAGTGTAGATGGGTGGGGTGGTGACAGTGTTGATGACAAAAGGAAAAAAAAATCGTTTTTGAACTTAGAAGAATCGTAAGCTGACGTCAGATTGTGAAAGTGGCATGCTTCTCAGAATTCTGCAGTATTTTTTGTGTATGTGTGGAAGTGAAACTATCATACAGGGCAGGGCAGGGATGGGACGTAGACCTTTGTTTTTAATTTGGAGAATGACCCTAAAAAGTCAATATCCTTTCTGGCAGCAATTAGTATAGTGGAAACTATGCTTTAATGAAGCATACGACGTGTAGGGTATAAATAGGGGTATTGAATTCTCAATAATCCATTTCAAGAAGATTTTTTGGTTCTTTGCCTCAAGAACCACAATAATTTCATTTCTTTTTCAAACATTAAGGGAGGAGGGGGAAGAGTAATTAGCATTTCCTTCTCAAGGGCTGCCCAGGCTGCAGAGAGAAAAGGACCCTTATAGTATTGAATATTTTTGGGGGGGGGGGCATTAATTGAGGCATTTATTATTTTATTTTGCTTGTTTTTGGCAGCCTTTCATGTTCTGACAAAAAACACACACACACCAAAACAAAAACAGAATAGGGAAGAACTATTAACCCATTTGTACAAAAGGAATCCTCAAAACAACATGTATTTCAAAATAACTAGCAATCTGAATATAATTGAAAAAAATTTTTCTTACTTAGGAAAAATACTTAAAAATATTAACCAGAAATGTGCAGATAAGATTAAATATTGTAAATAACTCAATTCTTCCCAAACTTTACACACAGAGACAATAAATATTAATTTAATGCTCTTCATTGCCCTACTGATATTTGACAATGGATTCTAAAACATATGAAACACAGTGTCTGATAAGAGTCAAGACAATTTAGAATGAGAGGAAGTTGTTTTTCCAGCTATTCAAATATAAGACATTGTAATGTATGATAGGTATATTTCTATTATATTATAAACTTCAGTCATTGGATCTACATGATACTGGAGCCTAAATAAATCCGTAAAATAAAATATAAAACAATATGGATTATTAAATTCACAGAGAAACCCCCTCCCTGTGTAGCCACCTTTAAAAACTGTTTAAAATATGGTTTTAAAGATAATTGCTAATGTATGGTTAAGCTGGTGGAAAAATAAAATAATTTTTTTGATGCAGAAATAATAAGCTCCCGTGCTCATAGGAGTTTGGGGCTAGAATGAGCACTGCTCAAATAGCATGAAAAAGCTGTAACCTAAAAATGTAGCTTAAAGTGTGCTTGGATTGGTAGTGCCAGGCAGAGGAAGCAAATGCAGATGCTCTCTGGAGAAATGAACTTTGAAGACAAGCACAAAGGATTCTCTGAGATACACTTGGAGAAATAGAGCTGACAATTTTTAAAATCACTAAATGACACAGGGACAAAAAAATCATGACACAGGGACGAAAAAAAGTCATCCATGAATGAAAATAACCTAATAAAAACCCTATAAAATCAAACTCAAATAAGAGACTATATATTGGATAGATATAAAGGGGGAAAGGCAAAATTTAGAGAAACAATGGCTGTATTCTTAGATTTAGGAAGCCAAATAAACCCCAGGCATAAAAATTTAAAAGAAAGTACACCTAAACATTTTGTAGTGAAACTCTACGAAAACACAAACACAGAATTATTTCAAAAGCATTTATAGAGAAGAGACAAAATATTTACTAATAGGAGTTATGTTAACTGCTGACTTCACATTAGCACAATGGAAGCCAGAAGCAGAGGATTATCTTCAAAGTGCTGAGAGAAAATAACTATCTACCTAGAACTATAAAGTCTGAAACTATCTTTCAAGAGATTAGATACATTTAAGATATCTATAATAATAAAAGCATAATATGCTAATTAGACTGGACATCCTTCCAGACGTCCTTCTGGACAACCTTCCAGACGAAGCCGGGGCTGTGAGGGAAGCCCGGATCCCGGGTACCAGAGGGAAGCCGGTGCCGGCAGCCCAGCGGGGGGAAGGAAGGTCTACTCTTGCACAAATGTCGTGCTTCGGGCCTCTAGTTTTTAGATAACAAAACTGGAAGTTTGCTAACAACAGATTCCCAGTAAAGGAATTCTGAAAGATGTATTTCAGGAGGAAGAAAAATGATCCTAGAAAGAAAGGTTATATGGCAAAAGAAATAGCAAAGAAAATTGCTTTTTGTGAGTAAATCTAAACAAACACCAATTGTACAAAAAATAATAATTGTATGCCAAAATACAAGTTAAATGAAATGAATTCCTAGAAAAACACAACTTATAAGTAGAAAATCTGAATAGTCTTATATCTTTTAAATATATTGAGTTTTAAATTAAAACCTTCCTACAAGAAAGAAGCCCAGATAGCTTCACCAGTGAATTCTACCAAACATTTGAGAAAGCAATAATGCCAATTGTAACAAATACTTTTAATGCTCAAACTCACAATCTGTCAGTTTACCTTTTAATCCAGAAGAGGGGAGCATTTGCCCAGTTTCCTGTCCCCCATTGGTCAGTGACTGTCCATGAGGTATTGACTCCCTTGTAGTTCCAGGTTGTACATGTGTGTATTTGTGGAGAGCTTCCCACAAACATTCCATGCCTCATGTCAGAGAAGCCATAGGGCAGTGGTCGGCAAACTGGGGCTCTTTGGCCCCTTGAGTGTGGCCACGAAGTTTCAATTGCACTGTACGTGCGTGCCCGCACGTGGTATGTGGAAGAGCCACACTCAAGGGGCCGCAGTTTGCCGACCACTGCCATAGGGTAAAAGTTATACCTGCCTCAAACTGGTTGCTGTTACCTTCTTTCTCTTGAGTGGACACTTCAAAAGTACATTCTACATCACTTTATGGAAAATCCCAGCAGGATTAAGCCTCATTTGTCCCCAGAACATTCTTTTTTGCTTTTGCTCCTTCCCAGTTTCACATTTCCCAGTTCCTTACTTCTGTTACCTGGGATCATTTTCTTAAACCAAATGCATGTGGCCAATAGGCTAAGAAACCAGTTTTACACACAATCCTCCAGTCATCAACTTATTTTATTAGGCCAGCAAACTTTGATACTAAAACCTGAAAAGGACATTTTGAGAAAAGAATATTATCTCTTGCAAGCTCTTTCATGAAAGAAATATACACTATATATCATATGTATAGAATACTTTATATATATATATATGTATTCTTTATATTTATAGATATTTATAGGTATATTACTAGCAATATGCTGTTGGGTGATAATGTATTACTTGTAGTTGTATATGTAATTGTATAATAGATATTTGGTATATTACTAGCAATATGCTGTTGGGTGATAATGTATTACTTGTAGTTGTATATGTAATTGTATATGTATAAAATGTAAAAGAATCTACAAATAAATTATTATAAATAATATGTGAACTTATTAAGATTGTCAGATACAAAATTCATGTAAAGAAATCAAATGCATATTTATACTAGCAATACATTAGAAGATAAAATTTAAAGAAGATATAGTATCATTTTCAATAACATAATTATATCAAATGTCTAAGAAAAAAATAACAAAAGATGTACAAGACCTTTATGCAGAACTATAAAATGTAATTGAGAAAAATTAAAGAACAGGTAAATGGAAAGACATTGGATTTGAAGACCCAACATAATAAAGATGCCAATTCTCCCCAAATTGGACTATAGATTCAATGTGATTATCAATTGTAGTTTAATTAACTTCCTTTTTTCTCTTCCTTTTCTTTTTTTAAACCAATTTGAAACTTTTTATAATTCAGATACCAGAATAGCCAGAATATACTTGAGGAAAATAATAAAGTGGGAGAGCTTGTTCTACTGATTAAAATTTATTTATTTATTTTACTTACAGTTGAGGAGATTAAGATTTATTTTAATGACTAGAGGCCCAGTGCATGAAATTCATGCACTGGGGGGGGGGTTGTCCCTCAGCCCAGCCTGCACCCTCTCCAATCTGGGACCCCTCAGGGGATGTCTGACTGCCGGTTTAGGCCTGATCCCTGTGGTAACGGGCCTAAACTGGCAGTCAAACATCGCTCTCACAATCTGGGACTGCTGACTCCCAACCACTCCCCAGCCTGCCAGCCATCATGTGGTGATCATCTTGTGACCAAATGAGGGTGGCCATCTTTTGACCACATGGGAGCGGCCATCTTGTGTGAGGGTGTGACAGTCAATTTGCACTATCTCTTTATTATATAGGATGCCATAATTAAGACAGCTGGATATGTTTCCAGGTTAAACATATAGACCAATAGAATAGAATAGAGACAGAAACAGACACAAACAAATGGATTTTTGCCATGTAGGGCAAATTGGCTCTTCAGAACAGCCCTCATTATTTTCTAATTAAAATATGTAAATCAATGTAGAGTTGAAAAAAACATAAATCTTGTGGTTGACATG